TTATTGACTGACATTTATCATTTCAGTAGCTTAATAATAATAATAATAATAATAATAAGTTTATGACTGTTAATTGCAGTCGAATCATTAATTTATAATGATGAAATATAGGTAGGTAGATAAATCTGAATGTTTTACGTTTCGCAACTTAATATCACATGCTCTCTTCAGACTGACAAAATATAACTGATAATTTATGAGTGATCTAAATTGCACTGTGTTATGGGTTACTTATATTCATATAAGTAGTATAGAAACTGTGATCAGGCATAGAATGTATTTCAGTAGAAGATCGATAAAGAAAGAACGGAAATCTGAGACAATGAACTGATATTTGCAAAAGGAACAGTGAAGTTTGAGATGATGGATTGATATTTTGCAAATCAATTATTTACTATATGGTTCTCATAATTTATAGAGATGTTCTGTAATTTTGTGCTCACATACATTCGATTGTCTTCACTCGTGTTCTTGTTCACTACATTACTATTTAAAATTTAGCATACGGCAATCTATCGGCGATCACAATCAATACTTTTGAATTATTATGAATTATTTGAATTATCATGATCTCAGTCAAATACTTAATAATCTTCACAACCGTATACTGATAATTACCATGTGCTCACTAGTGACTATCTTCGTAAGGGAATTCTCTGAGTTCTTGTGAGAGGTCTTAACCAGTGTAACTAATCCATGTCGGGTAGTGACAATGGAATATGGTAGCGCCATTTCGTGGATTAGTTGAGGTTAGTCATTAACACCATTGAATGCCGGCTAGCTCAGTGTTTTAGACGTTAAGCAATTGTGCGCGACACAGAATGCTCTGGATCCGAGTCCTGCGATGTGGAATCGTAGATACACACTACTGAGGAGCTCCATATTACGACGAAACGACCGTCCAATCTTTCCAGGTTTTTAATAGTGGTCTAACATCAATCAGTTCATGATCTCAATCCATACAATCAGGTTTAATTTTGATATAGTCAGGTGGAAAAAAAGAAGATCAACGAATAACTAATCGAGATCCAGTTTTTTATACATATCACATGCTTTTTCTTTATAAACAGTAAATATACTACTAATATGTGGATAAATACACTTATTGTAAGATATTACAAGACTAAGTAAATGTCATTATATGAATATGTAGTTATTTTACATTATACTAACTAATATAAGATTCCCAAAAACACTTACCATTACAAATAATTAACACTGAATATCTGTTTAATCTAAGACTATATTCTATATAAGAACCAAAAAAAACTAGACAATTATATCTCTATAAGACTAGTGATTAATTTATCAATTCAGGTAGTAGATAAGATATAATAGACAAACTAATAGCATAATTATTGAAGAACTAAACAATATTATTAGAAGAGGTTTTATTTGTAGAAGTTATAGTAGTTTAATAGTTGAATTCATGAATTCATGAAAGTTAGATCATAATGGAACACTTGGAGGCATTAGATGGTCGTTTCGTCTTAGTATAAGGCTTCTCAATAGTTTGCATTGACGATCCTCCTCGCAGGATTAATTGTTTAAAGGTTAAGCGCTTACATGTGAGGCTGAAGGTCATGGGTTCAAACCTTGCTAGCGAGATCATGAATAAGCATTGCTGAGAAGTCCCATACTAGGACGAAATAGCCGTCCAGTACTTCTAGGTTTTTTTATGGTGGACTAGCTTGAATTGACTCATGAAATTAACTACTTAATGAAGAATAATTAAATTATCATTTTTCAGTGTACAACTATGCTACATTTATTGTTTACATGAAAGATAGCTCTTTCTAGAGTACTGTATTTATCTACTTTATATGTATAACACAATAATAGTGATATATAATTTATGCTTGCACACATATTTAGTTCACCTTTCATATTTATTGATTTTCTGTAGACACTACTATAATTCCAAGAAATACTTGAAAGAAATCTCTTATATCCTAGAATTAATGATGAGAGATATCAAAGTGTTTTTGTAATGGAAACCAGGATAGCTGTTTCGTCCAACTCTGGGTTTTGTCAGCTGGATATAACTGCATTCCAGAGTTGATGTTCACTCTGAGACTCAAACACAGTACTGTTGACGGCGATAGTGATACAATCATCACAGAGTGTACATGAGCAAAAATAAATTGAACATTTGCAGTCCTAAACATCAACTTCATAATTCAAGCAGTCAATATAATTGAATTAAAATTAAAGTTCACCACATTTCACAAACCACTGTCTATCATGATTAAGTAGCTGAATGGATAATTCAGTGGCGTTTAAAGAGGATTGTATTTAGTTTGATTCACGTGGAGAAAATCAACTCTGAAATGCATGTATATTCAGCTGATAAATTCATGTTATAAAATTACACGGATATTGTCTAATATTAATGTACAACACCATTTTTAGATCCACATGTCACGTTAAAAGTCTAGTAGTTGACACTGTCCTCAATTTTCTCATAATCAAATATCGAATTATAGAATATTGAATAAAAAGCTGAAGTTTATCAGCACCATAATTGGCGGCCTGCTTGAATATCTGGGCTACCTGTTCCTCCGATCTAAATATTTCATCAAGTTATCCGTTTTATTGTTTGTTTTAGCACATCATTATGTCTATTGTGCGCACAATTTATTCAGGCGCGTTTATGAAAAGTTTACAACCTTTCGCTATACGTGATACAAAAAGGTACAATCAGCGACATCGTGGTGGCTGGCAATATGCATTGAAACGAATGAACATTAATCAAATGTGGATTACCGAACTCCTAACATCTAACCGGTCATCATTCAAAATTTATCGTCACAATAGATCAAGGTATAAGAAAAGGAAACTTGTTGAAATACTTTATGCTGAGAATTCTATGTTGTACCAAAAATATAATGTTGAATAAAGCTTCTAATAATAATAATAATAATAATAATAATAATAAAAATCATGACTACTAACTGAATACATTTCGAATAATCTGATCAAACATTACCTTACTAACAGGTAATGATCTTTGAACTGAATAGTTGGAATATAAGAAAATAACAGTCATAAAGAGACGATAGGATTAATCTTTTTAAAATCCTCAATAGCCATCGTTTCTGTTAGACAACAGTAATGCTGCGAAAAGGCAATGAGTAAAACTTCCATGTCAATGGCTGCATACTGGTGACCGTGTGAGAGAATTTTGAGAGAGAGAGAGAGAGAGCTGACTCTCCTCACCCTCAGCCATACCAGGGCACCGATAACATCACATACTCAAACTTAATGGATTCATATCTTTCGAAAATACGATAACTTTAAATCATTTTATAAGTCCATTATTTTAAATTTATTCATTATAATTTTAATTATACTCACAGATCACTCAACCTCAAAAGAGTTGAACAATTGCTGATGACTAAATTTACTCTGATTTCTCAATGTTCATGTTTAGATGTTTAATCTTCTCAATTCAAAACCAAATGAATTACATAATCATATAACAGTTGAAACTTGAAAATATGAATCACTTATTACTCTTCCTTGAAATCTGAAGGTTTTTGGTTTAACTTCAAAGGAAGTTATGAATCTTCTCTCCTTAAGAGATCCTTTTCACAAATGTGATATTCTAGTGTTAACATAAGCATTTCGATCATATTCTGATGGAAAAGATGACGAATAACTAGATGAACAGCTTCATGGCGTTATTGTAAAACACATTTATACCTTTGTTGAATAAATATTACTAATATACTAACTACGAACAAAACTGATCATAAAGTTGTATACGAACTAGTCCATGCATGTTTTTACACTGATATATCAATAAAATATAAATATAATTTCAATAGTTAAGATCGTGAATCAATTGAAGTTGAACCAAAATGAAAAACCTGGAAGCACTGGTTGACCGTTTCGTTCTATCGTGATTCTTCCCAGCAGTGCTCATCCACGATCTCGCCTCGTGAGATTCTTCAACTGACTCATGATTTCAACTATTGAAATTACTATAATGTCCACCCTCCTGATACAAAATATAAATGTGTTAACGTTAAACTTTAATTCACAAATTTGTAATAGTAGTCTAGTGCGTATATAGATTTGACTATGAATAATTTTGAATAGTCAGAATAAACTATATTCAAGTACTAACAATCTTGTTTACACAACTTATTATATACCTATATATATGCTGAATGGAAACTAATTGACAAAGTCCAATTTATACTTTCATTATTATACTATTGCTCTTACCAAAAACATAAGGTGAGACTATAATTTATGGATGACTTTTGAGAGACGCTAAAGTGAATTTGAGAATATCCATTTAGTAACTAGGACCAAATGACGGTTATAATCCAGTGTGAGGAATTAGAATTAAAATTTACGGTTGTTGGTTAAGGTAAAAAATTCTATTTAGGGTTTTCATCACGAACTGACATCAGGAATAATGCTAAAACTCTATTTATCTAAAATGGATTGGTGAATTTCGCACATAAATCTAAGATCTGTTATCTTATACCTGCCAGCTCAGTGGTTCAGTAGGTTAAACGTTTGCGTGCGAGACTGAAGGTCCTGGGTTCGATTCTTGCTCTCGAGATCGTGGATGCGCACTGCTGAGGAGTCCCATAATAGAAAGAAACGGCTGTTCAGTGCTTCGAGGTTTCCAACGGTGGTCTAACATCAATCGGTTCATAATATCAACCAAATATCCTATACCTGATTGGTTCGTCCATAAATTATAGTCTCGTCGAAAATAGAAACACCAAAAATACTAATATTTACACTAGCCACTATTTAACACCTTCATTACAAATTCAAATATCTAACCATGGTTAACTATTTTTGTAGAGAAAAATTGAAAAAAGAAAACAAAAAAAGAAAAAAGAAAAAATGTAAATATGCAAATATAAAACATAAAAAAACCCATAAAATTCGAACAAATAAAAGTGAAAATGCCAATTATCACAACAACAACAACAACAACAAAATCAATACATACATTATATTTCACAATTTGTATGCTGAATTGTAATTTAAGTAGCAGTAGTAGTAATATAAGTAGTATTGGTCATAGTAGTAGTAATAGTTGTAATCAAAGTTTAGGTATATCAGTTAACTGCTTATCGAACAATGATATTTCATTTCAGATAGCAGTAATAATTTTAAAGTTAATTCTTAGAGTTTGTTTCCATTTTACATTATTATAGTTTTATTACTAATCATGAAATTACTACTAGTACTACTACTACTACTACTACTACTACTACTACTACTACTACTACTACTACTACTACTACTACTACTACTACTACTACTACTACTACTACTACTACTACTACTACTACTACTACTACTACTACTACTACTACTACTACTACCACTACTACTACTACTACTACTACTACTACTACTACTACTACTAGTACAACAACAACAACAACAACTACTACTACTACTGTGATGTGTGCTGCTTATGTCAATAGATATAAATAGTGTATAGCATCAATCGGAAATGAAATACAGAAAATAGAGAAAGAAACTGACATTAATCAAAATAACAATAAAAATGAAGGAATGATGAAGTTTGTAAAAGACAACTGATGGAAGATATGCAAATAATGTATTTATTGCATGGTAGCAGTAGTAGTAGTAGTAGTAGTACTGGTAGTAGTAATGTATATGATTGATTCTATGAAAATACTATTTACTTAATGTAATATTGATATGTGTGTACATCGATGAGATCAAATGATAGCTGTTTCAATGATCTGATTAACTGATTGATAATAGGAATGATGGAGAATATACATTGAAACTACAGTGTAACAATGTTGTTCTGTTTTATGGGAAAAGAATAAAATGGAATTTAATGTTTTTTTAAAAAAAAATTCTTTCTAGTATCTTTATTAGAGACTGTTTGATTAACGGCTAATAACGAAATTTATAAACTATCATTTAAATTAAGAACAATACAAACTTGATGGGAAGTGAACTAGTGAAGTTTTCGTGTTTGTTCTTTTTTTTCAAAGTGTGTTTAGATGATTCATTGAAAATATTTAGATAGAGATTAATAACGGTGATTGGAGGTAGTCAGCAGGAAACTCTGAACTCGGGTTTCGTGCTATTTGGCAATCTTCAACAAGATCTACCTGTAATCTTGTGGGAACTGATGCTCATAGACAGATTCGATCCCGTGTCACCGAGTTTCACATGTCGGAGATGTTACAACTAGGCCATGACTGACTTCCTGTAGGATTGAGATGTATTCACAATTGATTGATCACTGGTTGATGATGAATGTCATGTGTGTCAAGTCCTTCTTAGTGAAGATCAAATGCTATCGATCATATTGCATTGTTATCTAGACTCAGTAGATAGGTAGGTAACGTAATGTCATATAGAGGGCACGGTACTGGATCCGAATCCTAGAGTGAATATCAACTCTAGGATGTAGGTACATCCAGCTGATGAGTCCTAAATAGGACAAAATGTACGTCGTGAATTCCACTGCAAATCACCGTTCAGCATCTTTGCATAAAATTCTTATGACTCAATGGCAATATCAAAGCGACCAACACAGGATGCAAGTGCCCTCCTAAACATCAATGACAAGATACAAACAACTAACACATAATGAAATGATGAGTTCTATGTTTTTGAGATAAATTCTAAGTTGATGTCAATGCATTTTACTAAATATTAAATCTGAGTTATTAATTAATTTTTACAACTTGTTGATGTAGTTATGAATCATCTAATTTGATATGATCATTAAACTAATTGAATTGAGTGAAGCAACCTTAAAACTTACTTACTTACGTACACCTATTAACCCCAATGGAGCATTCTCCAACCTAGTCTATCCTGGACCTTCCTTTCTAGTTCTATCCAATTCTTGTTCATTCTTATCATATCTATCTCAATTTCTCGACATCATGTGTTCTTCGGTCTTCCGCTTCTCATTTGGTCTTGACAATTACAAGTGACAGCTTGCCTTGTGACACAGTTCGGTGTTTTCCACAATGTGTGTCCTATCCACTTCCAGTGCTTCTTCCTGATTTCTTCCTTCACTCGAATCTGGTTTGTTCTCTCACATAGTAGGTTGTTGGTGAAAGTTGTCTGGTCAATGGATCCGAAGTATTTTGCGTAGACACCTTAAAACTTGGTGAATATGAATACTTTAATAAAAACGGAGAATGCTAATCTAAGAATAATTGTAAGAGAAATTATTGATGGATTAAATGTCAATCTTTAAGAAGGTAGAGAAATAGACAATCGAAAAGAGTTGTAGATTGGAACACAAACATTTGTAAAAGTTGAATACTGAAAAACCAAATGAGAATTAAAGAATATATCCAATAAGAATAAATGCAGATATTATCACCGGTTCGAAGGAGAACTCATATATCCATTCGTCTTTTCATACAATTTTAAAGCAATCTGTGGTTTTGATCTCATTTGCTCAGTATATTGAATATCAAAGTGAGCTTTGTACTACTAGGGGATGAACCTATGACTTTACTTAACCACATAAACACGTCCCTACAATAGTTTATTTTTTAGGACTATTCTGTGGAACCACAATTAATGTGTTATTCTGTGAGGTTTTCAATGATGATCTAGATATGATCAGTTCTTGAATTTTACCTGTCAAACTTTGTTTCTAGAAAAAACATCATTTATTGTATGACTTTTGGAATTCATGATATTTGATTAGAGACAAAATGCAATGTGAACCTATATATTGATAAAGCCCTAGATTCATCCAATACTTCCCAGTTTTCCATGGTGTTCTACCTTCAACTGACTCATCATTCCAACTATTTAAATTATTACTATAATATCTACAAAAACCACTTCTGATATCAATCGATATATGCTCACCGGTGACAAGCTTCAAGAAGAATTTCCTGGATTTCTAGTGAGAAGCAGTGACAAGTGGAGTTCAATCGAGTCTGTTATGAGATAATAACTCAATGAAGACAATAGTGGACGTGTAGCTCAATTTCATGGATTAGTTGAACCTAGACATTAACGTTATTGGATGCCGGCCAACTCAGTTATCTACAGTTTAATCGTTCACACGAGACTAATAGTTGCTAGGTTGGAATCTCACAAGACGGGATCATGGATTCGCTTTGGTGAGGAATCCCACAATAAGGCGAAACACCCATCCAGTACTTCTAAGTTTTCCATGCTGATCTAACCTCAATTGACTTATGATCTCAACTATTCAACTTACTATAATATCCACAAAAATCTCATTCTGATATTAATCTTAACATGGATTATTCAACATACAAATTATAATTCATATCGGTATCTCAAATATATAACCATATTTATTATCCCTTATTAAATGTATCATTGAATAGTGTAATAACAGCTGTTAACTAGACAAAGAAAGTTTCCATTTATAATATGACAATGTTATTTGTTTATTGAATTATATTTGAAGTAATGAAAGGATTCACATAAATAGTTAAGACCACCTGTGTAATATTTCACAATTTTAATTAGTTACTCAATTCAACTTATACTCACCCATTACTACTTTATATTAATAAGTAATATATATATCTATTAACACATATAGTCTAGAAAAATATAAACGATTTACTTTTTCAAAGAAGAAAACCAGTTATATTGAAATACATACTTACATATTCATTTCCATTGATATATGAATCAGTTTTATGAGAGAATTCCATAAAGAAAGTAAAAGTGAGAGGGAGTAAGAGTGAGAGAGCGAGAGAGTGAGTGGGTGAGTGAAAGTGAGAGATAGTAATAATAATAATAATAATAACAACAACAACAACAACCGTAAAGTATCAAGTTATTACTGTTTATCACCAAAGAAATGAAACAATCGGAAACATTAAATGTTCTTTTATCGGCAATATATATATATACATATATATGTTCCTTTTCATTTTCATTGTGTATAGTCTACTAAATTGTCTAAATGAATGAATCTAGTCTATAAAGGAAATTATTTATGTGGTAGTTTGTTGATAGACTATAAAAACTAAACAAAAATGGCACTTGATTTAATTAAACAAACGATTTAATCAATATACAATTGATGGGAAATGGTACATTCTTATATCAATGTATAATGTGTATTCCTTAGGATTGTTATATCAGTTTTTACTGTCCCGGAATTCGGTTTCCTTTTTTTTCTTCATTGGATTGTAAAACAAAAACGATTGATAATTTCAATGGGATTAAAGAAAAAGAAAAGAAAAGTAAATAGTTGCTGTGAGGATCAATATGTGATTAAAATACAACGGTAGATAATATAGTTATTTGTGGTATTAAATGAGAATTACTTACTTACACCTGTTAACCCCAATGGAGCATTCTCCAACCTAGTCTATCCTGGACCTTCCTTTCTAGTTCTATCCAATTCTTGTTCATTCTTATCATATCTATCTCCATTTCTCGACATCATGTGTTCTTCGGTCTTCCGCTTCTCATTTGGTCTTGACAATTACAAGTGACAGCTTGCCTTGTGACACAGTTCGGTGTTTTCCACAATGTGTGTTCTATCCACTTCCAGTGCTTATTCCTGATTTCTTCCTTCACTCGAATCTGGTTTGTTCTCTCACATAGTAGGTTGTTGGTGAAAGTTGTCTGGTCAATGGATCCGAAGTATTTTGCGTAGACACCTTAAAACTTGGTGAATATGAATACTTTAATAAAAACGGAGAATGCTAATCTAAGAATAATTGTAAGAGAAATTATTGATGGATTAAATGTCAATCTTTAAGAAGGTAGAGAAATAAACAATCGAAAAGAGTTGCAGATTGGAACACAAACATTTATAAAAGCTGAGTACTGAAAAACGATTTCAGTGGATTACTAACGATTCTTGTCATGTCTATCTGCATAACTCACCTGGAGCCCTCCTGGGGTTACTGGCGGTCTCCAGTCCGGATAATGAGGGGGGGGGCTGGACATGTGGTTAGCGACCCTATGCCTTGGTAAATTAACTAACGCTAAAAAAATTCAAACCATTTAAATGAGAACAGTCTGCTATTATCCCTATAACAACCTAAAGTATGAGGAATTCGATGAATGCATCAGTACATTACATTTTATTACTTTCAAATTAATCGTATAATATTTGAATACTTTTATTTTTCTCTATTCTAATAATGAATCTCTATTTAAATCTCCATTAGATCAATGGTAAGAACACAGAATACAGTATACTTCTTTCTAGACATGGATAACAATATATTGATCATTATTTATCAGCAATGAATTTTTAACAAGCAGGTTATAGAATACTAATCCTAATTATCATCAACAACCTCAGGCTTATTTCATCTCAGTATTAAAGATATTAACAAATAGAATAACTCCTTTTTCGCATATTGCTCCTACCTTGTCGTCTTATCCAACCACAATAAATGTATGAATGCCGAATCAGTGGAACGTTAGTTACAATCAAATATATGAAGATAGTTTCAACATATCAATTTTGT